TATTTTTAAAGATTTTTTTTTTCAATAATATTAGGGACCCCTCTGATGTTAAAGGGTTATGAGCAATCCATTTATTTTTTTTTCAAAAAATTTTCAAACCTATATATATGAGCTCTATATAATATATAAACTTTTTTTTAAAAAGTTTTTGTATTATATAGAGCTCATTTAGGGGGTGGTAGCAGACTTTTTGAAAAGATCTTGTTTAAAAACCAACCCTAATATAATATAATATATAATATAATATAATATAATATAGTATAATATATATATATATATATATATATATATATATATATATATATATATATATATATATATATATATATATATATATATATATATATATATAGCAGTAAAAAATTTTGAATAATCCTCAAATTACTATTAAAGAAGTTGCTGAGGATGTTGGTATATCAATTGGTTCAAGCTATGCAATTTTTTCAGGTATTTTGGGCATGAGACATGGGCATGAGACATGTATCAGCAAAATCTATGACTGCTTAATTTTGACCATTGCATGAGTATCGATCAGGATCTATTGAACTATGTCAGTAGTTACCCTATTTTGTTAAAAAAGATCATAACTGATGATGAATCAAAGGTATATGGTTATGAAATCCAAACCAATGCCCAGTTGTCCCAATAAAAGTACTCAGGAGAACCAAGAGCAAAAAAAGTACATTAAGTTTGATCACAAATCAAAGTGTTGCTTACTGTTTTCTTCAATTATCGTAGCATATTGCATGAGGAGTTCTTACCATAATTTTGTACAGTCAATAAGGACTATTACCTTAAAGTTATGAGCTGGTTGCATGAAACAATACAAAAAAAAAATGTCCAAATTTGTGGAAAAAACAATTCATTGATTTTGCATCACGATAATAACCTGCTCACTCATCATTGCTTGTGAAAGATTTTCTGACTAAAAACACCACAATCATGCCCCAACCACCATATATATAACTGATTATGTTCCCTGTGACTATTTCCTATTTTCTAAATTGAAGAGACCTGTGAAAGGACAAAGATTTGCAACGATTGAGGAGATAAAAACTCCATCATTAGAAAAGCTCAAGGTGATACCAAAAACTGCTAATCATAATTAAATCTTGACTTCCTTCCTCTACTTGCATAGATAATTTACATAAACAACCAATTTCCAACTTTGAATATCGCTCTTGAAGACTTGATGCCGAGCGCGCATAATCCAGCTCATGGTTAATATATTTTAGTATTGCGAGCATGAAATATCGCACTGGGCAATTTTATTCATCACAGGCACTGTGTATATATATATATATATATATATATATATATATATATATATATATATATATATATATATATATATATATATATACACATATATATGTACACACATATATATTATAATATTCATTAAATATTATTTTATAATTTTTTTATTGTAATTACTTGTTTCCATATTTTAACATATATATAAATATATATATATATATACATATATATATATATATATATATATATATATATATATATATATATATATATATATATATATATATATATATATATCATAGGCGCCTGCAGAAAATTTTCTAAGGGGGGGCAAAACATTTTTTGTTATTGTTTTTTTCCTGTTATCTATTATGTAAAAATCAAGATAAGTAAGATATATGAAAAGGATCTCACTTCTGCTACAGCATGGGGCTCACAGTGGCTGGTGAACTTTAATTCAGATAAAACTCAATTTTTTTCGCCCAATCGTTATCGCAATAATTTAGACCTTCCTATATTTATGAACGGTAATGTACTCGATGAGTCTCCTACCCTTCATCTTCTAGGATTAACTCTTACTTCTGATCTTTCTTGGAAACCTTATATCAAATCCATTGCAAAATTAGCATCTGCTAAAGTTGCTTCTCTTTATCGAGCTCGTCACTTTCTTACTCTGGATTCTATTCTCTATCTCTATAAATCTCAAATCCGGCCTTGTATGGAATACTGTTGCCATATCTGGGGCGGATCTTCTAATGATGCCCTTTCTCTTTTAGACAAGGTGCAAAAACGCATTGTAAACATAGTTGGACCTGCTCTTGCAGCCAACCTTCAACCTCTGTCACATCGCCGTAATGTTGCTTCTCTTTCTCTTTTCTACAAATACTATAATGGGCACTGCTTGAAGGAGCTAGCGTCTCTTGTGCCATCTACTAAAATTCATTCTCGTGTTACTCGCCATTCAATCAAGTCTCATCCTTTTTCTGTTACTGTTCCTAAGTGCTCCAAAAACTCTTATTTGTCTAGTTTTTTTCCTCAAACATCAGTTCTTTGAAATTCACTTCCTTCATCTTGCTTTCCTGATTTATATAATTTGCAATCTTTTAAGTCATCTGTCAATCGTTATCTTGCTCTCCAATCTTCATCTTTTCTCTTCCAACACTAATTAGTGGTTGCTTATAATCAATTAATCATTACCCCTATTATAACAGAAAGCAAAAAATCCTTTCTTTTTTTTTTTGCTATGGTCGGCGCCATAGCCAACTTATATATATATATATATATATATATATATATATATATATATATATATATATATATATATATATATATATATATATATATATATATATATATATATATATATATATATATATATATAATATATATATATATATATATATATATATATATATATATATATATATATATATATATATATATATATATATATATATATATATATATATATATATATATATATATATATATATATATATATATATAAGTTGGCTATGGTGCCGACCATAGCAAAAAAAAAAAGAAAGGATTTTTTGCTTTCTGTTATAATAGGGGTAATGATTAATTGATTATAAAAGGATTGCTTTTAGTTTTGAAGTTATTTTTTATTACAAAAAAATTTGTGATTTTTTAGTTTTGAAGTTATTTTTTATTACAAAAAAAATGGTCATAGTTTATTTATAACATTTTGATTTGTTTTTTAGATTGCTCATAGAAAGAACTTTGTTTAAAAATACAAATTTAGTTTATGTGCTGTAGGTAATGATTTTGTTTAAAATGGCAAATTGTTTAACAAAATGAGTAGACAGTAAACATTCGGTTGTTTAACCTTTACAAGAAACTAGCATTTATTTCTCCATTAGTAGGGGTGGTGATTTTCAATATTTTATTGTAGCATAGTATGAACTTGTAACTATATGACTATTGATGGAGGGAAAAAAAAAGTTAAAAATACTAAAAGTTTTTTTTCTTATATATAAACATTGATTTGAGTTTACTGTATTATTGTTGTGTCTGTTGCGACTTAATGGAAACTTAAACTTTTATCAAATTAAAAAAAAGTATTGTAACTAATGTTTCTTCTCTGCATGTTTCTAACATAACTATAACAAGGCTAAACTTTCCTAATAAACTTTCTGATCTTTAAATAATTCTAAAAAAACCGTAAACATGTAAATTATATAATTAATTACATGGTTTTAAGTAAAAAAATAAATTAAAATTAGATTTTATATCTTAATAAAATAATAATTGCACTTAAAAAGCGTGAGAACAGCAGGCATTTAAAAAGTAATATTTTTTAACTTTGCTATGCTTGAATAAATTTGAGAAAAAATGAATTGAAAAAAAATGAATGAATTATTGTTTTAATAAAACACGTCAAACTTGAAAAGCAAGTAATTACAATAAAAAAATTATAAAACAATATTTAACAAATATTATAATAATTTCCAGAGACAGGATTGTACTGTGGGGAAGTCATTGGGTGTCATCAACCTCCCTTTGTGTACCAAGTAGTCTTTGTTTCACGCAAATTTTGTTATAAACATCAAACAAAATACTTATTTTTTACTCTAAACTTTATTGTTTTACAAAAAAAAAAAACCTGAAAAATTTAACAGTGCTGCCCTGAGAAAAATTGTTTGGAATTTTCCAGATTATCGTAGAACATTGTTCGAGAAGCTCCTATAGAGTTGTACAATTTTTTTTAGCTGTTTTGCAGTGTGGTATAAACTGATATATAAGTGAGGTGTTAATTTTAAATCAGCTTAATTTTGTGCCAACACTTTTATTGCCTAATTAAAAGAGATCTTGTATTATTTGGTGAGCTTCATTGATATTTGTGCTTTATATACAAACATATAACTGTGCATATAAGATTTTATTAGTGTTTTTTTTTATTTTCTATAATTTTAAATTGCTTGTTTTTAAATAAAATATATGAAAACTCAGTAACATGTTCCTTTATTTGTGTTTAATATTTACATTTAGGCTTTTTCTTTTTCTGTGGCTTAGTAGAATACAACATGTTGCTTAAAACAAGCTCTTTTAACACCAAAAAGAACAAGGAAACTTAGACAAAGAACTTAATCCAATTTTAAGCAATATCAAGAAGAGGCAAAGTGGCAACTTAAAAAGCATTCTTGAGTGAAAGGACTTGCATGCTCTAGAAAAACCAAGCCATTGGACGCTTTAAATTTCTTGAATCCGCCATCAAAGAATGAAGAAAGAGAATCAGTGTAATTGTTGTTTAGCTTAAAGCCCTATGGAACAAAACATTGAACTTTCCACATGTAATTAGTAATATATTCAAGTAATTAGTGCAAAATCAGCAAAACCTTTGAAAGGTGTGTGTGTGTGTGTGTGTGTGTGTGTGTGTGTGTGTGTGTGTGTGTGTGTACCATCAAAGGTTTCATGATTTAACATTTATCCTGCTACTATAACTCACATATAAAATAGGGGTTTTATACTAGAGTCTTTGAGAATCTAATTGAAAAAACTAGAAAAAATATAAAAAAATATTTTAAATATATTTTTTATTCAAATAAACAACATTTTCTTAAATAAAATATTTGCAATTATTAGCAAAAAGATTTTCTGATGTAATACTGTTATGTAATAGTAATACTTATATAGAACTATTCCATATTTTAACTAATTTTATTACATAAAAATTTACATATTTAAATCTCCTTAATCTAATAATTTAAAATTTGTACCTTGCGAAATTTTTCTGTTGATCTAAAACAAAAATAATAAAAGTACATTAATACATATTAAAATATACAAACACATCATATAACATTTATAATATATTTAAATAAGTTAAATAAGCATGTCTACCCAAATATATACATTAATAAATATATAAATTAATAAATAACATACTTTAAAAAGCATTTCACATAATATAATATATATATAATTATATAAAAACGCTTGTTTTTTTAATTTTTCAAAAAAATATTGTTTTAAAATACTTATTATGATACATTTTAAAAACTTCACAACTGACAATATCTCCACAACTGACAATATCTCCACACGTTGTGGAGATTTTGTCAGTCAAAACTAATATAAACTTGCACTATGGTCTTTCACTAGGTAGGCTAAAATTGGAATTTTAGACTTACAAGTACAATGATTCAGAAATTATAGCTTTAGAAACATGGCACATGATTTCTAAAGCTATAATTTCTTGATTTACAAATGGTCAAAACAGACTATTTTAGAACCTTTCAACTTTTTTCTTACTTTCAACAAGTATCTCATTTTATCTAGAACTATTCCCTGGATAGTTCTCTTTTTGAAAAAGTAGTTTTTTTATAAACTTGTACCAGATAAGAGAAAAATTATGACCTCCTCAACTTTAGAAAAATCCTAAAATTGCTAAAATATGCTAATAAGAAACTAACTGTAGCATATTTTTTTTATCCATCTACAAGCCTTTACAGATAAGTTTTCTGATTAGCTACTACTGCTTGTAATAAATGGGCATGATTCATTTTCTAATGAATATACAGTTAAATCACATACAGAACACTGATCACCTATAATAAAACAGAATTTAAAGGTATCACACTTTAAATTTAAAATTAATTCAGATATTTATATCAAGTATCTAAATATCTAAAATAATTTAGACACCTTTATTTGAACCATTATGAAGGTCTCTAAAAAGTTACTGCCATCTTTATTTGTGCCCCTATCTACTATGAAAACCAGATCAAAGAGAGAGAAACCAACCATATCTTTTTTTTTATTAAGAAATGACTTATAAATAGTTGCCCTCTTCACATAGGCCAGTAGGCAGATTAGAGGGGCACTGTTTTCTGGAAGTTCTAGAAAAAATGAAACACTTGTTGAAATTGAGAAAAAAGTTATACAGCTCTAAAATAGTCTGTTTTGACTTTTTGTAAATCGAGGGGGCTACAGTGTCATGTTTTTAAGGCTATAATTTTTGAACCATTGTACTTAGAAGTCTGAAATTTAAAATTTAACCTATCTACGTAATGCACATAACAATATGTAAAAATCAGGAAAACCAGAGATGGTGACCCACAGACCATTGTTTGAAATATGATTTGACCCATTAACCTCTCAACTGGAAGTATAATGGCAATACAACAAATGTTTTTTTTATTAATATCTCAATAAATAATTTGATTTTGTAATTTTAATTAACTCAAAACTTATTTTATAATTTAAATACATATATACATTTTCAAATAGGCCGGGTGAATAAAAAAAAGCAATTGTGTTTACTTAGCGTTTTTAGAGTAACTTGAATAAAATTTTTAGTAATTTTGCTCAAATTTTTATTCACGTACAGCTGAGCAATTATTCCAATTTGTCTTGGCACTTGGAATAATTGTATACTTGGAATAACTATTTATTATTAAATCCATTTAATAATAAATATATGCATACAAATAAGAAAAAAATTATTTGTAAAAAATGTCTCACTAAAGTAAATTATAGCCTAGAGTAATTGATGAATGATGCCTTTACTTTTTGAATTATTTGATGACAAAAAAAAATATTTTCAACTTGTATTTCTAGAAAACTATTTGGATATCCAAAAAAAATGAAAATTTATAGAAAATGTTGGAATTTTGGAAATATCCGGAAAGAGATAATCCCTGTTATGATAGTAAGAAGACTAATGGGACAATAGTTAGACAGTCAGATTGCTCTCCAGAATTTTTAAAAATAGGGATAACAAATGCTACTTTCCAGCAGGCTGGAAAAGCTCCGATAAGCACTTGCTAAATATTTTTGAAAGTATAGACGACAGCTTCGGAGAACTTCTGCAAGGCTATAACAAGTATGTTGTGCGGGCCACAAGCTGTAGAAGAATCAAAGCAGGAAATCACTTTAGAATCACAGAAGCTAAAGTAATACGAAAGTCAAGCAATAGGTCAACCTGTTTATCAGCTATATCAGGTAGAATGCGATTAGTTCATTTTCATTGGCATGGAATGACTCATAACTGCTATAAATTAATATAGTTACTTTTAAAGTTTAAAACTAGAACAGTTAAATAAAAAACCTCTTTTTAAAATAAATTATTAAAGCTCAGTTTTTTACAAACCTCCATTAATAATATTTTTATGTATTTATTTTAAATTATAAACTAAACAGAAGACATTGTTAAATTAAAAAAAAGAAAATTGAATAAAATTTGAATAGGTTATTGTTTCACATTTGAACTTAAAAAAAATATTCATTTAAATTACTTGCACAAGTTACATCAATTTATATTTACAGTTATACTTTTTTGTTGATCATTTGATTCTAAAACATTGTTTTCATTACATTCATCATAATTTTATTAATATAAAAACTAAAATATAATTATTTAGTGTCTTTGGTAATAATAAACTTTAAATTTAGAATTAGTTGCTCTACCTATCAAGGTCTTCATTAGCATCATAAAACTCTTCCTCGCTTTCACTTGCCATTTTATTTTTTATACTGATTTATAAAACTAAAAAAAACATTTACAATATTAACTATAGATATTGCATATATTATAACACCTAACAATTTTAAAATATCTATATTTTTTATTATATTAGTACAGTACTAACTGTACAAAAGGGTTACCCTAAAACATAGAAATGAGGTCAGCAATTTTTTTCCAACCTTAAACACTTTCAGATTGGCGGTAGGTCAATGCCAACCCTAATTCCTTGGGTTAATATATATATATATATATATATATATATATATATATATATATATATATATATATATATATATATATATATATATATATATATATATATATGTACGGGGCAACTCATTTTCTCTAATGGTGACTAAAATTTAGAATAAAATAATATTTTGTAGTTGAAGTAGTTTTACACTAGGTTTAGTAGTTTTATGCTAGGTTTAAAAATAAATACACTATGGTGCATTATATAATTTTACTAAATGTTATATAAAGAAGCTTGCTTAAATTAAATTAGACATGCACGCAATTTAAAATGTTTCAAAGTGTGACAATACTCTTTTTTTACACACTTTTAAAATTAATGGATTACAGATTATCATAGTGGACCACTCAAGTAAGACAAAAAATATATTTCAGTCGCCCACAGGGCGACTGGGAAAAAACTGGAGGGTACACTACTGATATATATATATATATATATATATATATATATATATATATATATATATATATATATATTATATATATATATACACATATAGGCCTTGGCAGGATTAAATGAGTGCGGGAACAGAAAAGACTCTCATAAAAAGAATATAGCAATCCATGCAAGCTGCTCCTCTAAACAGCATTTAACGAGAGCTTTTGATTTTTGGGTGAGCTATTTGTTTATTTATTAAATAAATTGCTTGTTAAATACAAAATTTAATTTTACTCTTGTTACAAGTATTTGCTTGTAAAAGTGATGTTAACAAAATATATACATAACAAGCATCATTTATTGCGGCATGAAAAAAGTCTTCAGCCAAGTGTTTTCTTCAGGTTTTCATACTAACTATCCATTGATTTATAGAACTTTAGTAAAAATAAGCGATCGCATTTTGAAACAAAAAAATCAATCTGGAGAGGTTAAGGCCATCGCTCTTGACATTTCTAAAGCATTTGATAAAGTTTGGCATGCTGGTTTTCTCCATAAGCTTTCTTCTTACGGTGTATCTGGAAACACCTTTAAGATTACCGAATCCTTCCTTTCCAATCGTAGTATAAAAGTTGTCCTTGATGGACAGCACTTTTCTTCTTATTTTGTAACCTCAGGGGTTCCTCAAGGTTCAATCCTTGGCCCTATACTCTTTTTATTTACATTAACGATCTTCAAGATTTTTTCACATCTAAGGTGGCATTGTTCGCTGATGATACTACCATTTATTCTTGTCACGATAAGAAGCCAACTCCCTCTGATTGCTTGCAGGATGCATCTGAGCTTGAAAAGGATCTCATTTCTGCTACAGCATGGGGCTCACAGTGGCTGGTGAACTTTAATTCAGAACAAACTCAATTTTTTTCAGCCAACCGTTATAGCAATAATTTAGACCTTCCTATACTTATGAACGGTAATGTACTTGATGAGTCTCCTACCCTTCATCTTCTAGGATCAACTCTTACTTCTGATCTTTCTTGGAAACCTTATATCAAATCCGTTGCAAAATTAGCATCTGCTAAAGTCGCTTTTCTTTATCAAGCTCGTCACTTTCTTACTCTGGATTCTATTCTCTATCTCTATAAATCTCAAATCCGGCTTTGTATGGAATACTGTTGCCATATCTGGGGTGGATCTTCTAATGATGCCCTTTCTCTTTTAGACAAGATGCAAAACTGCATTGTAAACATAGTTGGACCTGCTTTTGCAGCCAAACTTCAACCTCTGTCACATCGTCGTAATGTTGCTTCTCTTTCTCTTTTCTACAAATACTATAATGAGCACTGTTCTAAAGAGCGAGTGTCTCTTGTGCCATCTACAAAAATTCATTCTTGTGTTACTCATCATTCAATTAAGTCTCATCCTTTTTCTGTTACTGTTCCTAAGTGCTCCAAAAACTCTTATTTGTCTAGTTAATCAATATCTAAAAATAGAAAAGAAAGTAGTTTGTGAGAACTGTAAATTGCTCCTATACACTGCTTTAGAAAATTATGGGTGAGATGTGTGTATGTGTGTGTTTGTGTGTGTGTGTGTGTGTGTGTGTGTGTGTGTGTGTGTGTGTGTGTGTATATATGTGTGTATGTATTCAAACCTCAGAATTAGAAAAAATGAAGTCTGCAATAATTTGCCATCCTCAATCTTTTATAGGTCTGCATCAGGTCAGCAAAAAAAATATTTGATACAAAAGCCTTACACAAAACATTGATACGAGGTCGGCAATTTTATGCTGACTTTGTATCAATTTTAATTGTTGTATGATTACTGAACGAATAATATTATTTGTTTTCGCTTGTTATTTATACATATTATAATAACACAGTATATATATATATATATATATATATATATATATATATATATATATATATATATATATATATATATATAACTTGGTGTTGGCTAATTACAATTCTTTTTAAATTGCATTTTTAAAGTCTAACTTAACTATTCAGGTAATGAATGAGATGAATTAAACATTCGACAGTCAAAATTATTTAATACATTAAATTTTTAGTTTGAGCAAGTAATGTGAATGATGAAAAATGTAAATGAATCTTGACCTTTTCAGAAACATGCATCAAAAATAATAACAGACATTGTGATAGTTGTTTTCATTTATTTATGCAATTGAAGCAGTATTGTAATTTTTCTTTTTATAAAAACTTCATAGTTATGCCTTTTTTCTATTGACAATTTTTAAACCCTTTTTTTTTAGGTTAATATGATAAACTTTCATAACCATTACTAATGGTTATGAAAGTTTATCATAAGAATTTAGAAAAAAGGGGTTTAAAAATGGTAAATAGAAAAATTTTTATTTTTCCCATTTTTAAGTATTTTATTAACAAAGTGACTAATAGAATTAGTCTGTTAATAAAACATTACAAAATCAAACTAAAATTTAAATAAAAATAAATTTAAAATAATCAAATTAAATTAAATAAAATGTGAAAAAAAAGATTGCTTGATAAACAATAACTATAAAAATATGAGACCATTTACTTATTATATTTACATTTTTCTTTATTATTACATAGTATAGATAATTTTATACGTAATTTTAAAAATAAACTTTCGTTAATATTACGATTTTTCAAACAAATATTTAAGTTTAAATTTTATCTTTTAAAACTTCAAATTCTCCAAATGTTTTTTTAATTTGTTTATAGCTTCCATAAGTAAGCAGGAACTTTTTATAGCCATATTTTAAGCAGGAAACCTATCCTTATTTGTTTGTTATTTTGTTATTACAAAAAAAAAATTGAAATTTAAAAAATAAAAAATAAACAATGAGAATTAAAAACTTTAATAGATAAATAGCAAGTTGAAAAAAAAAAATTTTTTTTAAGGCATACAGAAAAAATGTAGTCAAGTTAGCATAGATAAAAAAATTATATAAATTTTAGTTGAAAATTATTTATCGCGATGGCAAGATTTTCTTTGCAAATATAAATAAAACGCAAAGCTTAGAGACAAATTCTTAGACAAATCCGGTCACTAGTTGCGGACAAATCTCTGTGGACAAATATTTCTGAAGTTAAAACGCTCAACATAACGCATAATATTAAGCGCCATGTCAAATATAACATAATGAGTGCGGCGGTAAATATATTTGCTATTAAAGTAGCTTTAATTTTAATATACAAAGCTTTAGCTTTGTATACTATTTTTATTGTTTATGAATTAAAGTAATTTATTTAAAACGTTTTGATATATAAAGAAACAAAAATTTTTACCAAAATCTTTTACTCCACATCTTTTGTCTCAGTTAATTGAAAAAGTAAAATAGGAAAAAATATTTACCATTACCAGGAAAAGGAATTTGTGCCCAGGTGATCCTGGGGTAATTTTACGGGTGCTGTGAGATGTTAATCCCCCCCCCCCCCACACACACACACACACACACACACACACACACAAAGGCTATATTCAACTAATTGTCGGTTTTTAAAGGAAAATAGTCGGCGTTTGAAAATCTACTTCAGCCAGTAGATTTACAGTTTTGATGATCTTTTACTATTTTTAAAGCGCAATCAGTAGTTTTTAAGGACTCGTAACCTCTCCCCTTTATTTTAATCCTAGAGGTACCTCTGCCATGGTTACTTTGTTTCATGTACCGTCAACCAGGGCTACTTTACTCCATTTTTAATGATTATTTTACTGCAGTTAAATTTAGACATTATAGAAAATTTGCTTAATGAGTTAAATTGGTTTTTTCAAGTTCTATTATGTTGTTTTAACTAGTCTATAAAAAAAAAAATTTAATTTAATATGTTTTGATTAAAGTTTTAAATTTGGTGCAAAGTAACCCCAATCAGAGGGTTACTTTGCACCACATAAAACCAATATGCTTTTAATGTTAAAAACAAAAGAAATCTCGCTCAAAAAGGTAATTATAGTATAGAGAATTTCACAAAAAACGATTTTAAATAAATACAATACTTTATGTAGCTTAAAAAATGGTTTTAAAACTAAAAACATAAATCTTACCCAAAAAGTTAATTCAAGTATAAGGTTTAGTTCAAGAATTTCACAAAACCCTTCTTTAAATAAGTAAAATATTTTCTTTTAAATAAACAAATCCAAAATCAAACAAAAAAATCAAACAAATTTCCACCTTATAAAATGGCAACATAATTCAAAACTTATTTTGAAAGTTGAAGATAATGACCCAACTAACAAGGAAAAACTAAATAGTTTGAAAAAATTAATTTTACTATTAGAGCTGGGTAACTACAAAAATTTTTTAAAAGTGGTGCAAAGTAACTCCCGTTGGAGTAAAGTAGCCCTGTAAGGTCCCCGTTGGAGTAAAGTAGCCCTGTTTTTTTTTTTG